TACAATAGATGTTCATATTAAATTTGGCCGGAGTCTCAAATAATGAGGTCAGGCTCAAAAATCTGTGGTTTTCTCCTACTGGATCAATATGATGTCATTTACAGCACATATCCCTAATATGGTCGCGTCAGGTACATAAGCTCCACCCGCTGTTCTAATCTTCTTGTTTATGACGAGCAGCCAATCAAAAAAATTCTGGTCTAAAAGGCAGCTGAAGGGTGTTGAAACAACTTATTTAAGACAGAGGATGAAGTAAGAGGATGCACCAAGGCACAGTATAAGATATATAAAGATTATTTCTAAATGAATCATGGAAAGCTACTCTAGTCCAGTCTAAGAATAAAGATATGGAACTGTTGAATGAGCTGGGAATTACAAGCCCCTTTCAAGTTCTTTAATTAAAACAAATAAAATAAGTCAAACAAGCTCTTTAAGCGTGATTGCACAACAATCAACAAGCACAGAAGAGTGGAACCACTACGAACTAGTGGAACCAATAACTCTGTGCAGACATTAGGGTTTCAACAATCCTGCCCACTCTACTATGGAAAGAATGAATGCTAACAGCTTTTTGTGGGACATCAAAGGTCTAGGAGGACCACTGGTACTGATATATCTCTGATGATGGAAGCCGTAGTATCATCAAGTTAGAGTGACTGTCATGTTTCAAACACTCTGTGCTATAAACACTTCAACAACACTGCAGAGGAACACAGTGATGTATTCCCAGTGGCATCCTCATCAAAGTCAATCATCAGACTGCAGTAACTACAAAACCACATCTCCAAGGCTCTTTCCAAACATCTCTATGTTGAATGGCATTGCTGTTTGATTAGATACAGGGGAGAGATCGGAATGAGTGCCCCCGCATATTGATCTACAAATACAATAACACAAAAACACAAAAAAATGTGTACTTGAGGCACTGATTCAGGGACACTTATTTTGTGGTTCCTCAATATTTTATTCTAAATACTTTTAGTTCTAAAAAACGCACATGTAACACACTATCCTCTCTTTCACCTGACTGCCTGTGCAAGGACTAAGTACCTCTGTTTTTTTAAAGGCCGCTTCACGCTAACATTGTCTCCATGGGGAGCAAAGGCCTCACGAGGACTAATGGAACAAAGCAACAACGTTTTTCCTTAGATATTATATAAAAGCTGTAGCAGGGGATCAGGTATAAGAGCAGTTTTGCAGGCAGCATTGCATAACTGATACAACTGTCTCGAATGAGTTAAAGGGTATGTATAACACTGTACACGTTTACAAGAAGTTACATTTCGAATGCCAGTATAACATGTATAAGTCAAAATCTTGTTTTTGGTAAACAAGATTTTTTTCTATATCCAACTTCCATCAATATCATGGGATATATCCTAGTTTTGAATATCATCAACAACAACAACAACAATCTTTATTTATAGAGCACATTTAAAAACCAGCGGTATACCAAAGTGCTTAACATAAGAGACAGAGAAGTAACACGAGTATTATAAGGCCTTAGCAAAGTATCAAATATACTCACAGGTCAATGCCACTAATACACAGGGGGTAATATAAAATGCATATCAAAATAAAAACATAATAAAAGCACAAGGTATAAAAAATATGTATAAGAAAAAATAGAGTAAGTCTAAGAGTCAGGTGCGAGCATTAACAAGCAGGACAGGCGAGATTAAACAAATAGGTTTTTAACCGTGATTTAAAAGATTGGATAGAATCGGACGTCCGGATCACAATCGGAAGGTTATTCCACAACTGTGGTGCAGCCAGGGCAAACGCCCGGTCACCTCTAGACTTCAGCCGAGATCTAGGCTGCACCAAGAGTAACTGAGTAGATGATCTTAATGCTCTGGCAGGAACATACGATTTAAGGAGTTCCTTGAGGTGGCTCGGTGCTGTGTTGTTGGTCATTTTAAACGTAAGCAGCAGTATTTTAAATTGGATGCGGTATTTTATGAGTAGCCAATGCAGGTCAGCTAGAACAGGAGCGATACAGGCAAACTTCCCAGTTCTGGTCAGAATACGTGCCGCAGCATTTTGGACTGTCTGCAGTCTATGAAGGAGGGCAGAAGGAAGAACAAAACAAAGTGAGTTGCAGTAATCCAGCCTTGAGGTCACAAAGGCGTGGATGAGCTTTTCCAGGTCCTTATGCAGAACATACTGCTTAGCCTTAGAGATGAGACGGAGTTGGTAGAAACTAGATCTGACTACAGCTGACACTTGTTTATCGAGTTTGAACGAGCTGTCAAGCAACACGCCCAGATTGCTAACAGTGTCAGAAAGGGAGCTGGTAAGGGAACCAAAGGCATCACGAAGTTGGCCACGAGGAACGTTGCTGCCAAATACCACGATTTCAGTTTTCTTATCATTTAGGATAAGAGAGTTTGCTAAGAGCCAATCTTTGACCTCACGCATGCACTCTTGAAAACAATGCAAGGACAAAGCAAGATCATCATTTAGTTCAAAGTAGATCTGTATATCGTCAGCATAGCAGTGGAAAGCGGTGCGGTATTTCTCAAAGATTGCACTTAGAGGGAGCATATACAGTGAGAAAAGAATAGGGCCTAACACAGATCCTTGAGGCACACCACAGCAGACAGGTGCAGCGGAGGAAGAGCAAGTGCCCAGGTTGACAGAGAAGAACCTATTGGAGAGGTATGATTTAAACCAATCAAGGGCAACACCTTTAATGCCTACAGTATGCTCAAGCCTCGCTAATAAGATGTTGTGATCTACCATATCGAAGGCCGAGGATAAATCCAATAAAACTAGGACCGCAGAGCGTCCATTATCAGCAATTAGAAGCAATTATCAAGCACAAATTTAATGTATGAAATTGAAAGTAAGAATAAAATAGGAAGTACAGAATTTTGTTTCAGCCCTGTATACCATGAGGAACTCTGAAAATGTTAAAAATATGAAGGTTGAATTTCTCTCTATCCTCCAGCTTGAGGATCCTGTGCAGTATCTCAGCTGTTCCTAGGACTGCGCTCTTCTGAACAGAGATCTCTGGGAGTCCTAGTGCTCCGCTTCCCACTGGGACCACTGTTACCTTCACCCTCCACATCTTCTCAAGCTCTTCTCCGAGCCCTTGGTACTTCACGAGCTTCTTGTGTTCCTTCTTCATGATGTTGCTGTCATTCAGTATGGCTACATCTATCACTATGGCCGTCTTCTTCTGTTTGCCTAACACCGCTATGTCCGGTTGGTTAGCCATCCCCATTTAGTCCGTCTGTATCTTGAAGTCTCACAGGATCTTAGCTCAATTATTCTCAACCACCCTAGGGGGCGTCTCCCATTTTGACCTCGGGAGATGTTTCTGTATACTATGCTGAACACTTGGTTATGGCGATCCATGTATGCCCTGCCTGCTAGCATCTTGCACCCTGTTGTTATGTGCTGGATTGTCTCAGGGGGCATCTTTACACAGCCTGCACCTGGGGTCTTGCCAGGTGTGGTAGACCCCAGCTTCTATGGATCTTGTGCTCAGAGCTTGTTCCTGTGCTGGCATGATTAGTGCCTGTACTGTCTTTCAGTCCAGCTTTGTCCAGCCACTGGTAGGATTTCTGGATGTCAGCCACTTCCTCTAACTGTCGGTGGTACATACCGTGCAAGTTTTTTATCTTGTGGTATTATAGGTAATTTAAGGCTATAAAACTGATTATGATTCAGACAGATGATTGGCAACATGATGTTTTCTATGCTATCCATTCTTAACATCTTGGAACATGCTTTCTGGTGCAAATTACAGTTGAAAGTCCAAAATTACACCTTCCTTCTCCAATTTTTACACTCTGCAAATCCATCCAGAGGGCCAGACTCTACTCTTTGATGGGTTAGTTCAGACCTGCAGGCTGTATGTTCAACAAAGTTAACAGAACACAACTCCAGCAAGAAAATAACAATGGCGAACTGCATCTGTTTATTTATGATTTAAGAGCTCTCTTTGGCAGTCAGGAGCTGTGGTTATCCCCTTTTAACGTTAAAAGCCGCTCAAAATCTGAATGGCTCATTCAGAGACACATATTCTGATCTATGGAGAAAGCAAAGAAACTTTCTCATGACTTCTGGGCCTCTAGACACAGTGGGGACACTTAATTATGTTCAAGAACAATGAGAGTGGATTTTGCATAATACAGTTTGTCTCCTCTGAAACATCATTAGTATAATGTTTCCAGCATCGCTCTCTCTC